CTCCCACCTACCCTCAGGGGTAATTTGAAATCGATTTCATCCTACCTCCCTGTAATCTGTACGCGATTTTAAGTTACCGTAGGGTAATTTGAAATCGATTTCATCCTACCTCCCTGTAATCTGTACGCGATTTTAAGTTACCGTAGGGTAATTTGAAATTGCTACACCGGTATATAATTTTCTTTGCAAAACCTCTGAGTTCCAGATAAACTAATTTCGCCTTCAGAAGTCTCATCATTTGCCAGTTTCCTTTTTTCTCTTTCTAGAAATCTCACTCCTAAACTGTTCTTCTACTATATTTGAAAGCTGATGAGCTTGAATTTCGATTCTATCGAATTCTTCACATAGTGAATTTACATATTCTTTCAGCGAACTGATAAACTTTACAGCAGTAGACAAATCAAGGCTCTTTTCTTGAAGCTTAGCACTTGTAGCATCAAATCTTCGAAAATTTTTATACCAAAACACTGGCATAAAAGCTAGATAAAGTTAAATTAGGCAATATAAATAAATGTAATGATGATAATAATAAAATGTTTCTACGAGATACACTCGCTAGAACTAACAGTTCACGAGTAGCACGAGCTATATGTAACTTGGTTAGTGTAACATTTGCTTCATTTTACCGCATATTTTGACACTTCTTATGGCGGGAATTTTAAAAATCACGGTCCAAAGGCAATAAAACAATAAAATTTAATTATAAACAGTTGTATAAGGTTAAAAAGTTTTAAAATATTTAGTGTAAAGAAATGTTGTTTCCTGCTACAATTTGAAGTAATTCTAGAAAGAAACAATTGTAATTTTGATTTATTTTGTATTTTTATGGTGGTTACGAGGTCGGTCAAATTGATCTAGCCTGTATTGAGTAAGAATAGAACAAATAAAATATGAAGATTTATCTAAAAAGAAAAAGTTAAGCTGACGGTCCGGATCGTAAGTAGGGGGCCACTCACGCTTGGAACCCTAGCGCAACTGCGCAATGGTTAATGCGTCCCTACTAGCAACATTTATCGTAGGGTCTTCGAGTACCTAGTGGTCAGAATTTTTTGGCTGTTGACCTTCAGTATCTTGTACCTGGCTATCTGAAGGTCTGCTATCTTCTGTCAGTATTCGATCACACTCTGGTTGTCTTGGAGTCTTGACTATAAAGGCATTGAGCGCATCATGCTGCGAGTTTATACATCCTTGTTCTTTTTTCTTCCTGGATCATTTGGATGCACCACTTTCAAATTAACGCTTCATTTCACATGTCCTAGTCCAACCTATAATAAGAAAAAAATATATATTCATATATATATATAGGATTTTTTATAATAATAAAAAACAACCAACTGATAATCAGAATATTTCTGATGAAATAATTTTGATCATTAGTTGTTGTTGTTTTTTAAACTTTTAACTTAATGATTGCTTTGTTATATTTTATGTATTTCCATGCCCTTAATGTGGCTCTGGGTTGCAAATTCGCTGAAATTCAGGATGCTTCAACATTTTGTGAGGCCCTATAATGGGAGAGGTCCCTGTGATGGCACAGAATCACAGACCAGCCAGCACACCTCTGTTCATGTTACAAACTTCAATAAATATAAATATGTATTTTATGGTAGAATGAAGCAGTTTTAAAGTAAAGATAGCTCTGTTTTCTGTTAACATAAATTAGCATGGGAATAAGCAGTAGCAACCAGTTTTATAAGAATAAGAAATGAAGATAACTCATATTATATCACAAATCATCCTTATTAAATAGTACTGTTAATAAAAATTCTTTGATTGGTCTAGAAATTGGCATGATACATAAAAAAATCAATATTTTATTAACTGTTAATTCTTCAAACCTGTTTTGTCTCCGGATTTACAATGACAAACTCAGGGGTTCGATTTCCTTCGGTGAGCACAACAGATAACCCAATGTGACTTTGCTAAAAGAAAATCTCACATAAACCTTTTATTTTATTTCTTTTTTTTTCAGATGGCCAGCCTTGCTTCAGTTATTAGTCGGATACTGGAGGAATTGGTGTTTCCAGAAGGGTCACTCCATAAGTATCTTTCCGAGATAGTCACGACGTTTCAGAGTATAGGTTCAAATGACCAGTATGGACCTTTTAACCCAGATCTTACAATGAACACGGATGACCAACAGTCAAGTTGGTCAAGCATGCACTCTCAGAACAGTGGGTATTCAGTTGATTCCACGTATGTTTCCTCAATGCCAGAGTATTCTTCCATGGGGCTTGACCCGCGTTCTGGATACCTACCAGACATGTATAAAACACCCATTGACATAATTAGGAATGTATTAGAAAATATGATTAATTCCTCTGAACCATTACCTTATGTACCAGAAAATCTGAGAAAAATCATCCAAAGGCTGATGTTGGAAGGCGAAGAAGAAGCCAGACGTCTGAATCCTGATATGCCTTATGACTTTTTGAAAGACCTGAAGAATGCAATGGAAATGTTTCTGTCAAAACAAAGTATTGCTCCAGAACTCATAATGCCAATGATTCAAACTCTTACTATGACTAATTTGGACATTGGCCCTGAGGGAGAGACGATGGCTTTAAACAAAGTTAAGGTAATATTTGATGTTTTCTATTACCTATCTGACTACTGAAATATTAGGCACAACACGTGTAAAACTATAAACAGGGCAGTTCCGGTGCTGACTGCAGTATTGAACGAAATATTACCGATGTCAACAGAAAATTTTTTTTATTTTTATTATTCGTTCGATATTTCTGCTTTTAACCATCTTTTGAGCAGCATAACTATATGGTGAAACATCGGTTCCAATTGATAAATGAAAGCTATTACAAATTGTAAAACTTATGAGTGAACGCAAAGAAGAACGTGTAATAACATGTCAATCACACTATATCTGCTATATCCAGAACCGACGAGGTCTTTTGGCCAATACCAGGACTCGTTAGGCTGGCTGGGATACAAGAGACACAGTAATGGTTGATACTTCTTTATATTATTAAATTACATGAGCAACTGTTTTGGTGTGAATTGGACTAAGTTGGTGAAGTGTAATTTGTATCAATTTTTTATAAGTAATTTACAATTCAGAATTAAGTTAAGGATTAATCACAAACATTTATTTATACAAGATTAGTAAAAACTGTTAATTTAAAAAGAGGATCATATTGACAGGGATCGTCAATAAAGTACAGAAACAATTTGAATCAAAATGCAAAGATTATATTTTCAAACCTACAACTAGGGACTCTATAAAAAGTAAAGAAACAAAGCTAGAAATAATGCCTACGTTATTTTCTCAAACTACAAATCCCTATTTTGACTCCATGTTTACAGTATTTATCAATTTTAGTGGAGTCAACATCGCATCTATTATGTATCTATAACCATAAAAATCAACTTTCAATGAAAAAGAACCAACTTTTATCAGTCTAGGTTTAGATGCAAATTACACATTCGATTTTGATGTAAGCTTGTGAAACAATCCTATTATAATGAAGCTTGCAATGTATACGTCCAAAACTCGGATCTCGGAAACTATCGCACCGACTATCACCACTCATAACTGGGTGACATTTTTATAACTAGGCACTATCTTTATAGCTGAGCAATAAGTAAAACAATTGAAATTTCCACAAAAATTATATGTTTCAGATTTAACCAATAAAAATTACAAAAAAAAGGATTAAGTTCCAAATATAAAACAATCAAAAACAAACTTAAAAAAATATTTGTTTTCTTTAGTGAAAATATCATGAGTGTTGCAACAGAAAAGCAAGGCGCTTTCATTGATAACTACACCTACAAAAAAATACTTGAATAAAATCTACTATGTGATGTAATGCTGTGATGATAGCTCATTTTTAAACTAAAATTTCAATAAAATATTTTTTGTTATGGATGGTGAGCATTATTGAATTTCAAGTATGTGTACATTGTTGTAGAATTTTCAGATAGTTCCAGAAAAGGCCGAAGGCCCAATAGCTTTCCGCTGGAACTAGCAATTATACCTGCCCAGAGGGCGGGTGTTTCTGCTAGTAATACTGATAATATGAACAAATGGTCAAATTTTGATTTTGTCTAACAATCGTGAAATCAGCTATTTTGCTTATTGTCAATTTAAAAGGAAGGTTTTGAGTGTTGTTTCAAGAATAAGTCTGCTTTTTTTAAGGTGGTTTTTGCCCGAATTTTTTTATTAGTTTGAGAAATTCTTGAGCGATTCCTATTATGAACCACTGTAGGAATTCGTGATTATATACTTTAACTTGAATTAATCAATTTATCACTCAAAATATATTGTATTAGAATTATGACTGATGATTTAAAGACTGGTTCTATTATTGAAATAAACAATTTAGACAGAGTAAAGGTAATGTTTGGTGGTATTGCTTAATGCTTTTTTTTTAACTTCTATCAGTAAGGCTTGATTCAATTGTACCTTATTTTTATTATTTTAAAATCAACCACAGTGTTTGTAACTGTTCTCAGAAGTTATTTCTTAGCCATAAATCTTGAACTTCGCACTGTAGAATACTTTTTGTTAGGTTACAATTTTGTGAAGAAAGGACCTTAATTATAGGATTTTTTTTGCATTGAATTGTATGAGTGTAAAGGATTAGCTAAAATAGGGGAATTTCTCAAAAATATTTAATTGTAGGTGAATGTTTTTAGAATTTTTTTTAATCAAAAGATTCGGTGTTTCCAAAAACAATGAACTCTGGTTTTAACAGAAAATACTCTTTCTCGCATTACCTCAGGTGAGAATATATTTTTTTTTAATAAACCAAGAGGAAGGAAACCATTAACAATTGCAAACCCAACCTAATCTGAGCTAAGCGGATTTTGCCTCATCATTGTAATGTGAAATTCTAATGATAGACCTAAAAAGGACTAAAATAAACAAGTTCAATTAAGGCTTAGAAATTAGCTACAGTAGTTTGAAAAACCTTTTTAAAATTATTAATTGATACTAATTATTATTCATTCTAGTTTGCTTACTCGTTTCTGTTTAAATTGTAGTGGTCCGTATTGTCGTTTACCTAAGGATCTTGGAGTTATAATGAACACACCTTTCATTCCAGGCTTTATTAGCAATGGTTCAAGGATACAAGAAGAACGCTACTGTTGGGAGCAAGGAAGAGAAGATGCTAGAAGTTTGGGAAGCAACACTTGAAACTTCTCTGGCTGGTAATTTCTGGAATGAATGGTACAAAATTGCAAAAGAACTAATCAAGGTATGGTTTGTGGATCACATTTTCTACAAATATGTAAAAATATTATATCTACATGTCATCTATCATGGAAAATTATTTCGAATAGTTGTTGTTTGTTATTAAGCACAAAGCTACACAAAGGACTATTTGTGTTCTTCCCACCACGGGTATCGAAACCTAGTTTTTAGCAGCATAAGTTTACAGACATGCCGCTGTGCCACGGGGAAGGGGGGGGGGCAGAATCAACAAACACATTCAAGCATTCAAGTGACGAAAACATCTCCAAACTTAGATACCAAGTGATGTACACTATAATATTCTACCTCTAGGTATCAAAAGCTAATGAATATAAATCTCATGTTTATTTCATATTATTATTATTATCTTTAAACATTTTAATATTTTTCATATATAAATAACATCCATCAATCATTCCTCAAAGCATCAATCATTCAGTCATGGTGTCCTCCTCAATTCTACGGATCGTCAAATAGAATCGGGGTCCCGTGTGCCTAGTGACGACTCTGTTCCTTGCTGCCTGAAGAAACATTCCTAATTAAAGGGTTTCATCTCTAATAAATTTTCTATTTAGCCAAGTGATTCCCTGCCTCACTCTCACTTTTCTTCCTTCTATGCCACCGATCATAGTTTCTGCCAACCTTGCCTCATATCTAATTATATGTCGAAAGTAGCGCGTCGTCCGTTTCCTACATATATCCAGCAACTGTCTTTGCACATTCCAATACTTTCTCGTTAGTTTTTCTTTTTCTGTAGTTTCATCTTGAATTCTAGTTTGACATTTCTCCCGAGAGATTGAAGAAATTTTGTTTATGCCATTCTGGTCCATCGTTTTATCTATTTTCCACATTTACCGCTACTGATATTCATCCATAAGTAAGTAAACTTCTCTACTTGTTCAAACTCATTACCTTCTACTTTGATGCAAATTCTGTGATCTTCTTTTGATCGTGAAATTCTCAGTTTTAGTTTTGATGACATTTATTCTGAATACATAGTCTTTCTTGTTATCAATAAACCTGTCAAGTACCCGTTGTAATTTTCCTCAATAATACCTGTAAGTGCTGTATTATCAGTATAGCCATTATTACAAATTCTGTTTCTGTAACCTTAATCCCTTGTGTACCAGTAACTACATCTTTCGTTAACCACCCTGCATACATATTGTTACGTCTGCTTGTTTGATAATTTCCCGTAAAAATTCTTTCCGAGACATTATACGGAAAATTAACTAACGACCAGAGACGTAACAAATTGGTGTCAGAAGTGGGATGAAAAAAAAATGGAAACGAGAAGCGGCAAATCAAACTACAGCTTAGCAGACTTGATGGCAGCAATACAAGAGCAGCAAAAGAAACAAGAATAACGAGAAAATAAACAAGAAGAGAGACAACAGCAGTTGCAAGAAAACCTGCAACAGTTGCAGCTCGAACAACAAAATAAACAAGAAGAGAGATTACAACAGTTGTTGGAGGAAAAAAGAAAAGAAACAAGAAGAGAAATTACAGCAGTTGTTGGAGGAAAAAAAAAGAAACAAGAAGAGAAATTACAGAAGTGGCATGAAAACCTACAACAATGGCAGCTCGAACAGCAAAATAAACAAGAGAGACAGCAGTTGTTAGAGGAGAAAGAAGAGAAATTACAGCAGTTGTTGGAAGAGAAAGAAAAGAAACAAGAAGAGAGACTACAGCAGTGGCAACTGGAACAAGAAAGGAAACAAGAAGTACAAACGGAAAACATTAGTAAAGTTAAAAGCGATTTAGATACATTAAAGGATGATCTATTGTCTTTTACTCAAGGAGAATACATTAACCACCAACTTAATCAGCCCCGGACAATGGCAAGCCCCTTCCAGACCCCGTAGCTAAACCCTAATGCAGACATCTTCAGTCCTGTTAGAAGTCACATCCCAGATATGAATGTCAGTAATAGGAGTGATTCAGTAAGAAGGAAGCCACAGGAATACGATGGGAAAGCACCGTGGGAAGCATATAGAGCACAATTTGAGCTACTGGCAGAAATGAATGTATGGACAGAGGAGCAGAAAGCAGTATATCTGGCAACGAGCTTGAAAAGACAACCACTGGAAATACTTGGACAATTGTCAGCAGACGACAGACACAACTATAGAGCACTGGTAGCGGCTCTAGAACTCAGGTACGGAACCCAAAATCAGTCAGAAGTCTACAGGGCTAGGTTTAGGACGAGAGTCCATGCTAAAGGGGAAAGCCTGTAAGAGCTGGCATA